ATTTCTAAAATGTTCTTGATCCCTATTATCAAGTCTCCTTCCTTAAACCCTGTATCAGCATATAATGCACCAGCAGCATATAAATGTCCATATATTCAAGAGCTTTTAGAATTGTCATTTATTAATCCGTTAATAATTTGATCAGTGAAAGTGGAATCACTTTATCTCAACTGCATATTTTCATAATCCTATCCATTATTTTATTTATTTTGTGAATTCTCCATTGATTAATATTATATTTCTTATTGTTTCCTTATTGTCTTCATGTATCGGTAATATTAATTTTTACTTTCCCAATTTTTACTTGTCTTCTAATTCTGATTTTTTTTTATCAGCAGCTTTCAGTTTTCTAATTATCTTTATCCTTATGAATTCTTTCACTCTTTAAAAATTCCTGTAGACTTGGGCAGCCCGGGTGGCTCAGCGGTTTAGCGCTGCCTTCAGCCCAGGGCCTGATCCTGGAGACCCGGGATCGAGTCCCATGTCGGGCTCCCTGCATGGAGTCTGCTTCTCCCTCTGCCTGTGTCTCTGCCTCTCTCTCTCTCTGTGTGTCTCTCATGAATAAATAAATAAAATCTTAAAAAAAAAAATTCCTGTAGACCATGCACAAAACTTCTTTCTGACCTCAAAATCCAAGCAATCACCAAGACCTACAACTCTGCTCCTACATATCTCTTGATAGTATTTCTTTTGATATTCAGACTACCAATTCAAACTGCCATAATCTGTTTACCATTTTAACAGCTTCCTAGATACATTACTGGTCTCTAGACTTAATCCCTTCTAACCCATTCTCTGCCAAAGAGTCACCACCTTGCTTAACACTCTTCAATGGTGCTCATCTCTGTCAGGATAAAACCAAGTTGTTAACAAGGCTTACAAGTCCACACCCTCCTGCTTCATCATCCCCACTCCCCATTCCTCACTCAAGCTCTGGTTTCAGCCACATTAAATTGTGCCAATTTCCTGAGGGCTTCACCCATTTTACACCTTTAAGCTGTTCCTTATTCTATGTACTAGGCCCAAAACAGTCTTTATTCTGAGCCTTTCCTCACTCATTACTCTCTTTTCAGGAAAGACTTCTATTCATTCTTCGGGTCACATAACCTCCCAGAAGCATTCAGTGACATCATTGCAACCTGCCCCCTACCTCCCCAAGCTGAGTTAAGGGCCCTTCTAAGTAGTCAAATAGCAAAGAGTATCTCTCTATAAACACATTCATCAAACAGACTGCCTGGTTGTGACGCTGACTATTCTTCTATCCCCAGGGCACACAGGCACACACTCACATGCACACACACACACAGTAAATCCTGAGAACTGTAAACAAGACTATCTTCTCTACAGTTGTGTTTCCAGAACTTATTAGAGTATCTGGCACATAATTGTTTTAGAGGGGATATTTATTGAACAAATGAGATTAATTAAATGTTTACACATACTTTCTTACAATTTTTTAAAAAAAATATATTTTATCATTACATGGGCACTCTAATACATATGGATTTACTTTGGTAATGGTAGAATGAATCTCTTTCCTGTTGATATATGATTCTTCCTTTGTCACATATAAAATTCTTACATATTTTAGAATATGTCTGTTTTGTTCCAGAAACCTGTCTTTAGTTTCTTGCAATAGAAATAAACTTTTAATTGCTGTACATTTTAATACCCGTGAAAGCACCCCTCAATAATTTCCTTTGTAGAAATTCTACCAGCTATTCTCACCCTCTTATTTCTTTCAGATAAACTTTAAAATTATTTCCCTTAGTTCCAAAATATTACATAGGAACTTCTGATCAGAATTGCATGAATCCTATAAAACGATTTGGGAAGAGCTGATACTTACGATATGCAATGGGTCCATCTAAGGACAGTACTCAAAGAAGCTTTTACTCAAGAAATTCTTTGTGTCTCACAGTAAATTTTTGTGATTTTTTAGAATCAGGGTTCCATATTGGAAATTTTTTCTTGATGTTTTACATTTCTTTGTGCTATTGTGAAAAAAATAGTAATACAATATATATAGATCATTAAGAATTCTAATTTTTTTATCTACTGGTGCTGTGAGATATGCACAATCATACAAGTTACCCCTGGTTCAAAGTAAAATCATGATTAAATCCAAGTCTATCTGGACTCCAGCCTCCTACAGCCTCTTCTATACAAATTCCTTTCAAACATTTCCTAATGACAAAAGTGAGAACACTGGGAAAAAGGGCAGAGTTGCAGGAGGGCATTTTTCTACAAAACCTTTTAACTAAAATTAGTTCTCAGTGTAGATGTACCATGTAGTATCTGTGCATTTTCTCAAACACCACCCGTCTCCCGGGATCTATGTGTTCCAGTTTGAAAAGTATGGTCTACAGTTCACTACTTCCCCCCAGAAGATTCCAAAAGAGGGGACTTAATCACATTTTAGGTCAAAGAAACTTGAGTCTAGAAATGCAGAATAAATTATTTGGATGCTTAGAGTTCTCAAGTACATAATTATGATGAGGATCCAGCACTGTGGTTCTCATGTCTAGAAGTAAGCTACTTGTCATTTAGTGGAAAACCATAAAATGCACTCTTCTAATTAATAATCACAATAAAAGGATGATGTGTATCCTTAATAAGTTTAGCAATTGATATAAAATACAATCTAATAAATATAGCTATCATTTGACAAAGTGTCCATTTTAAGGAGGGCTTCTCCCAGATTCTAAAATCACCTAGATTTTTACAACAGCAAACTAGAAACACTTAAACATATTTGATGAAAACTTGCAATTAAAATGTGAACTCTGAGCAACTAATGATAGTACACAGAAATTAATACATAAAACCCTATTTCAAAGTTCTCAGCAAGAAAAAGGGAAATCTGATCAACCAATGGCCATGAAGCAGATAATATCAGAAGACAAGCTGTGTGGGGCAATAAAGATTTCCCTTGGATTGCTGGCCAAGGATTTCATCACTTCCTTCTTAAAGAATGCTTCAAGTTAATGCCCGAATCACAGGGATACTCTCAGTTAAATCATGTTTACTTAAGTTGACTGCTTAGTGGATTATATGCAGTTCATTCCACAGTATGAGTTTAGCCTTCAAAGCATATTCTCTTCACAGAAAAATGATTTCCTTAGGTATTTCAGTCAAAATTCCAGTGGGTAAAGAAGTCACTGCAAATATGGAATGGTAGCTGAGATGATGATGGAGCTCACCACCGAGGGAGAGCACCACAACCTCCAAACAGATACCACACTGCCTTCCTACAGAGTTGCTGACATCTCCTTAGATTAAAAGCCTGGGAATACAGCCAATAACAGGACTGACCCCATGAACTACAAATGAAAATGTATCTCATTATATCATAGTCATACTACACACATAAGTATTACTGGATAAGGAAATACTTATTTCCACATAATTTTAGTTCTTTTTAAAGCCGGAGGGAAGCTCATTTATTGCTCCTACATATTTTATGTGAAAGAAATGTTTAAAATCATTGAAAAATTCAGTAAGACGAAAGTCAGGCTTTTTGTTCTGGTTCTGTTCACTATGTCTTGGCAAGTTGCTCGACAGATATGTTTTGTTGTCCTCATCTATCGACTGATATGTTTTGTTGTCCTCCTCATAGGTTAGACTAGATAAAGCTATGCTCCATTCCAATCAGAAATTTTTGCCAATCAGATCAAAGATTTATATGAAGCTAAAATTTTAATTAAAACTCTGGCCTGTTTATCTGCTTTTGTCTAACCTGACACTTAAAATCAACAAAATGTTTCACTAAAATTTTTACTGATAACATATCTCAGTTTTCTCAAACTGATTGTTCCAATAAACACTGGAGTATGACAAATATCAAAAAGATCATATCTGCTTTATAAACTGTGAAAGCGAAAGCCAGTTTTAAATTTGATGTTTCATGAAAAGTAAACTTAAAATTCACAAATGCTGTACTTTAGCTTTGTGTTTACTATAAATGTTTGAAAGCCAACTTATAAAAATCCTCAGTAAATCTTTGGGAATTGAGTGCTAAACCTGAGACGCACATGACCTGGACAACAATGGGAAGCAATGAAAATGCTAGAAGTTAAGGCAGAGCTAGGTATGCCATGAGAAACACTCCTCTGGGGGGCAGAGAGCTGCTACTTGCAAACTGCAAGTGGCCCCAAGTTTGAGTCTCACAGCTCTGTATCATGAATGGAAATGGTGGAGAAAAAGACATGAATGAGACAAGTCAACTTTGCTACCAATTATTAAGCAAAACTTGGTTAGAATAACTTTTCTATCCCTATCAAAGAATCAGCTTCTAAAACCAATTTTTCAGGATTAGGACATGAATAGAAGTTGAAAATTGCCCCCCCCCATCTGCATTAATCAATTCTTAGGTTAGATATAACATAGACAAATTGACCAAATGCACACAAATCCCTGGAGGATGTCATGCATCTCCCAATTCACCCCACCCTGCTTTATTCCACGGTACACTTATGCAAGAAATATGATTTTTCTTTTTTGGGGAAGATAGGCTAGAGGGGATATGGGCTTGGCCTCTCCCCCTCACAGCTCTTGACTGCAATGTTTTTTAGCTGTCAAGAAAAACAAATCTATAAAATAATGGAGTTTACCATTTCATCATCTGTGCAAACAGGGAGGTCCTTTTAAAAAATGTTTTTATAGTCACTTGTGAAAATAGAATTGCCTTGAAGAATTTACTCTCCTTATGGGTGATAGGATTCACCAGCTGACAGCTCCCACACGGAAACTCAAAGAGGCTCTCATTTCTCTGCTGCCCATAAATGTGTTAAGTCTCAGGGAAGTTAAAAGGCAATGCCATCTCAAATCACAAGAAGTAGCAGAGCTGTTGACAAGCAGAACAGCCCCTTGGAAGCTGTCGCAATTTAACTCGAAAAAAGACAAAGTTAATACAGTAAGCTTAATCACTTGCAAAGGAAATGGGAAAGTTAAACAAGTAAAGCAGATATATTTATGTTTGCAAATATCATTCAACTTACCTCTCTTGAGCCGAAAACGAGGACTTTTTGTCTCAACTGCCAGCAGTGATTGATCCCCCAGGTAAATCCTGCTGAAACTAATGCGTTCCTAGAGTTAAATGAGTGTTGTTTCCACCTCTACCTGTCTGTGTTAATGAACAATTTAGAGGCTTCTCCCTCAGTGGCTGAGTCACCCAGGGAGGAGGTGGGTGGTGTGAAAGAGGGTGTCACCTTGTACAAATAACAATTCAATTAAAACAGGCTCACTCATGGACCTACTGTCTTTGTTTGGTAAATTCTTGTTGTAAGTTATGGCTTTGTTATGACAAAAAGAATGTGCTCCTGTTATCGCCCTTTTCATTGATATCAACAATACACATGACTATATCACTGACAAGGAGGCAGAGTACCCAATTTGTTTTGGATTTTCTTAAAAAACAAAACAAAAACATAAGGTAGGAAGAATTTTCCTCTCTCATAGTGGCTGGAAGGCTGGGGCACAGAGGCACAACACGGAGCACTCTGCTTGTGAGAATCCTATTCTTTAGGAGAGGAAAGTCTTTTGAAACTCTGACACCAGAAAATAAGAAAGGACACAAATCCTACATATGGCATATTTTATAAAAACCATCAGGAGAAACATACATTGTGAAATATAAGAATTCTGATCCTTTTATAATTTCAACGTAGATAAACATGTGAAAAAGATGCTTGAAACACCTTTCACAGCTGAGTAGACTCCAGTGTCAACACCTGCTCTGGCAAGGAAGCAACAACCCAGGAAAGCCAAGCTTGGTAGGGGTTCCCATTACAGGGTCTGAAATGCATCTTCCATAATGCCAAGGAGGCTTTACAAGAAGCTCAGCAAACCTGGAACATTGCTGAGCAAAGCCAAGTCATTAGAACTTCCTGGGTCATATTTATTCATCCTTCATATGAACAATTAACCAAATCCTTCCAATTTCAAGCCAGCTCCTGAAAATTATAGTAGAGCTGAGCTGTAGTCACTAGAAATGACCATAAAAAAGTAGGAAAATGTTCAGATAGACACAGGCAATTATAGTACGCAGTTGCTATGCATGGGACATCACTCCCTTAACGTGCCCTTTTTCTGGGCTAAAGAACTTGAAAATTTTAAATGGGAAATGTTCTTTAACAATAACATACATACACATGTCTATTCAGTCCTTCTAAGAAATTTTATAAATGCAAAATATTTTAGAAATATGCTCTAAATTTCTGTGGTGCCTGTAAATTGGTTGGATTGAGGTTGGATATTAATACTACAGATGAGAAAGCTGAAAAATATGTTTGGCTGAATTAAAATAAATTAGGAGTTATATTCAGCATTATAAAGAAGATACTTCAGTAAAATAAAATAGAAGTTATATGTAGTATGATTCAGCATTCATTTAGCCAAATGAAGGGCTAAAACAGTTCCAGAGCCAGCTTGGAGGGAAAGGTAGTTAATTTACATTATAGAATGTTTAAATGTGTGTTTTTGTCCTCATGAAATACAGAACCAGCAAAATAAGTTTTTAATTTTAATGAAGTAAAATATACTGTCCAAGATATATCTTAGGCTTTTGAACTTCCAAGCAATTATTTCTGCATGTAATTGATGCAGAGGAATATTCCTTCTTATATATGGGGGGGGGGCGGGGGGGGGGGGGGGGGGGGGGGGGGGGGGGGGGGGAGGGGGAGGGGGGAACCTCATACCACTAAGCCACACAAGTGTCTTTTCATTTAGAACCAAATCTTTAAGTCAAGAAAGGGATAATTCTAAATACTTGGGCAAAATTCACATCTCCTGGCTGAGCAGACATTCAATGAAAAGACTGCTGAGAATTAAGACTCTCAAAATTTGAAGAGGTCAATCAAGAATCAAGAATGTGTTTGGGTGTGGAGGTGGCCAAATGTGTTTGGGTGTGGGTTTGGTCTTCGTCTCACTCAGGCCTTGAGCATGCTTGGAATACTTGGCTTCACCTCGCCTATTTCACTGTGACTGTCCTGAGTTCTTGAGGTCTCTTTAGAACTTGAGCTCCTAGGCTGGGATGGCAAATGTTTTATTGCAGGTGCCAATGCCAATTGCTTGGTAGTGGCTGCCTGGAGAGATATGATGAGGTCTGTAAAGCAACTTTGAACTTACACAGGAGAGTGCCATAGTTTTAATTAACAATGTCTGTCACCTGTCTTAGGGTTTTTTTGTTTTTGTTTTTGTTTTGTTTTTGTTTTTGCTATGTATATCTCCTAATATAGAACAGTGGTATATCTTTTTTTTTCCTTTTAGTTTTTTAACAGTGCTTTTTCTAATGTGTTATATCCAATGAAACAATCAGCCAAATGAACACTTATTATTACATAATAATGAGAATAGCAAATACTTACATAGTACTGTTAATGTGTGAGGCATTGTTCTAAGTACTTCTCATACATTAATTTAATAATTGTTATTAGATGATTGTCTTCTTCTGCTACGGTCTGTTTCCCTGAAATTCATGTTGGAATCTTAACCCCCCAAAGAGGATAATGTTGGGGCTTTTGAGAAGTGCTTAGGTTATGAGGATAGAGTCCTCATGAACAGGATTGGCATTCTTATAAAAGAGACCTCTCAGAACTTTCTAGCTTCTTCCTTAACTTGAGGACACAGTAAGTAGGCACAGGAACCAGGAAGAAAAGCTTCATCCAACCATGCTGGCACCTTGATCTCAGACACACACACACACACACACACACACACACACACACCCTGCTCCCAACTCCAGAACAGTGAAAATTAAATTGTGTTGTTTATAAGCTGCCCAGTCTTTGGTATTTTGTTATAGCACCCTGAACAGACTAAAATACCTCCTGACCCAAGACAGATTCCAAGAGTGATGTGGAAAATGTAAAAAATACAAATAGGACAAATCAGCATCTTGAAATTCTCTAACCTATTACACAGATTAAAACCCCTGACTCTGGGGTTGAAAGATAGAGGGTTCCCTTTTTTCCTCCCAGATGGAAAAAAAAATGTTATGTGCATGTTAAAACAAAGATATATCATTAGGATGTAATTACAGAGCCAGTTTCTCTTTGGCTGGGAGTAGACAGATGTCAGAATTAATGAATTACTGCCAGTGCTGCAAGAGCTGGTACATTGCTTAATACACTTTGATGGTGCCAGCATAATGCAGACCAGTGGAGAGCACAGCAGAGAGTGCACAGAAGCCTGAGTGCCCCTTTCTGAACAGACTCACCCTTCACTATGGGCAAATCACTTAACCCTTATGCCCATGTCTTTCTTGGTACAGTGAGATTGATGAGATCTACCTCTTTACCAACTGGGTTAAGGTCACAATGAAGATGTCAGGTTTTTTTTAACCAGGACTCCAAACCTTTGGTTTATAGAAAACATCAGGAAGAACCAGAACTCAGTTCTGAGTCCTTTCTGACTCTTCATGCTGCAAACAGGCAATTCTCCTGCCCAAAGAAAACAGCAGAGATTAGGCATGGTTGATGGTGATTATAATGATGATGATGAAAAAAACAATAGCAACAACAATTGTTTAAATATGTGCCAATCTCTGCTAAGTGCTTTACGCACATTATTTCATTTGATCTGCACAAAACCCCAACACAACAGGAACTGCTGTTATATCCATGATAGAGATAAGAAAACAAAAGCTTAAAATAAACACATCTAGGAATTAGATGTGTCCAGAATTCCAATGGAGGCAGACTGACAGCAAAGCCCACATTGTTGGGTATGAAGCTCCGTTGTCTCTCCAAAGTGTCAGAATGGAGCATGGGCACTACTTAATTCAAGAGACTGGCTAGAGCGCAGGATAAGCTAAATGTATAGGAGGCCTGAGGCCTGAATAATAGGTGACAGAAAAATACAATGGCTTTCAGCAGGAAATGTATGTATATATGCACGTATATCATCATAGCCTACGTGTATTGGATTACAATGTTAGACCAGAGAATGGCCCTGAGTAGCTTCTGAATCGAGGCACCTTTAATGATAGTGTAAATTTAACTCATCAGTTTTCTTTTTTTTCTTCATTTAAGGAACATTTATTTGTTTAAGACTATTTTTAGAGCAGTTTTAGGTTCTAAGCAAAATTGAGAGTCATGTACAGAGAAACCCTACATACCCCTTCCCCCCACACATGCACAGCCCCCTCTATTATTAACAACCCCCACCAGACCGGTACATTTGTTAAATGGATGAATCCACATTTTTATCACTCCAAGTCTATAACTTATGTTAGGACATCACTCTTGGTGCTGTATATTCTCTTGATTTGGATGAATATATAATAACATTCATCCCCTCCCCACAATTCCTGGCAACCACTCACCTTATTACTGTCTTCACAGTTTTGCTTTTCCAAAACATCATCTTGTTGGAATCACATAGTATGTACCCTTTTCAGATTGGCTTCTCTCACTTAGTGATATACATTTAAGGTTGTTCCATGTCTTTTCATTGCTTGATAGCTCATTGCTTCTTAGCTATTCCACTGTCTATTCAACAATTTATTTATCCATTCACCTAATGAAAAACATCTTGTTTCCAACTTTTGGCAATCATGAACAAACTTGCTATAACCATCCACAGGCAATTTTCTTTTTTAAAAAAGCATTTACACAATGTATTTTGAACCACTCATATATTTACATTTTTTAGAAATTAAAAGTATAGAAAGCAATACGATAAAAAGTCTTCCTTTCCCCTCAAACTCTGATCTCCAATAAAAGGCAGTTGTTTAGTTTCTTCTGGGTCCTTCATATATATGAGCAAATGTAAGATACAGATATTTCCTCCATTTTTTACACAAATGTTTGCATATTACACAGTTCTGAATCTTTTTTTGTTTTTTGCTTTAACATTATATCCTGAAGGTCTTTCCACACTGTTTTTTTGTAGCTGCTTGGCTTTCCATCCTATGCATATGCCATTATCTATTTCATCAATCCACTATTAATGGACATTTCCATCATTTCTAAGCTTCTGCTAAGAAACAATGTGGCAGTAACATTGTACATAAATATTTGGCAGATGTGTGTATATATCTGTAAGATAAATTCTTATGATGTAACTGTTGGATCCAAGAATTTATACATTTTAAAGTTGGTAGATAAATATTAGCAAATTGTCCTCTGTAATGGATTTTTAA